GTGTGTGTGTGTGTGTGTGTGTGTGTGTGTGTGTGTGTGTGTGTGTGTGTGTGCGCGCGCACGCGCGCGCACACGCGCTCAGTTGGAGGCTGTGTGGGTGTGGGGCACAGGCTGCCCCTAGGAGAGGGCAGATGCATAATACTCTGTTTGTGCACTGAGATCCCAGCTCCTGGGGTGGCCTCTGGCAACTGCTGAGGCCTCACAGTGAGAAATCTGGAACAACAAAGGCTGGAGGACAAAAAGGTCTCTGGCCGGAGGGGCTGCTGCCTTTCACAGGGCCAAGAGCTTCACTTCTGAGGGACGCAGGACAACCAAAGAGTAGACGAGGGGGCTGAGAAGTGAACAGAGTCAAGGTAGGGAACTTCGGAAGGCTGGGGATGTGCTGGTTGCCAGGCACAGGACGAGGCTCTTACATATGGGGTCACAGTATGGAATTTTCACTCAATCGTAAAACGGGAAGCAAACAGCTCATTCCCTTCCCCCAGGTCATTGACGCCTAAGGTTGCCTAATATAGCACCAGGACCATTTATTCAAAAAAGTCAACCAGAAGCCAGCTGGGGAATTTGGTCACTGTGCAGCAGGAGAGCAGGCACTTTAATTTACAACTCAGACAAGGGATGATGTTCAGGGATGTGAAGACCAAAGTACTCTTCAAGCCTTTGCCTCCCACGCGTGGGACGGAAGGACCTGGTGGGCGCCTGTCACCCTGGCGGTCATCACTTCCCGCGGCCTTCTACTCTAGCGCCACCTGCTGGCTCTGACTGCTAATCCGCGTTTGACCTGGCTGGGAATTTCTGGTTCTCAGCAACACAGGTCACTCGGCCCAGGTTTGCAGTACCGGGGTCTCTACATCACCCATCTTTCACGTTTCTTCAGCTTTTTTTTTTTTTTTGCAAGGCCAGACTTTTATTCATGAACAAAACCCAGCAAAGGCTAAATATTTCTAAACGTATAATACATCCCTCATTTGAAAGGCCACACTTGAGGCAATTTTTAGAACCCATTATTTGAAATATACAGAAACACTATTATAAAAAAACAGAATCTAAAAATGACTATTAAATAATACAAAAATATTTTAAATAAGTCAATATTATCGATCTATTTATTATTTATTATAATGTGATCACTATTATTTCAATATGTTATCAGTTTTGTGTATAGATATCATCTAGGAGCACTTTATATTTTCATGGAGGATTTTTAAATTTTATTTTATTTTAAAGACAGGGTCTCATTGTTCTGGCTTCCTGTTTCTTCTACATCTTCTTTTCAGCCGAATCTTTTCCCCCATGATTCTCTTTCCTTTTAAATTATGAAATTCCATTGATCTTTGTTGTTGCTTCCTTGCCTTTTTAGTTTATTTATTCATTTGTGGAGGCATGTGCATGCCACGGTGTGTATGGAGGTAAAAGGGCAGCTGGTTTTCTCCTGTCACCGTGTGAAGTCCAGGGGTTGAGCTGGCCCACAAGACCTTTACCTCCTGAGCCATCTGGAGAATCCCCTTCCCCACTCTTCTCCAGGATCTTTCTACCTCCTTCCTTCCAGATGTTTCGGAAGGCTTGGTTTGGCCCTGTGTGAGAAGCTCAATGTGGACCCCCGCTCAGCCTGTGCTTCTCACCGATACCCCATCAGTGACCACACCCAAGGACCGTGTTTGGGGACATTGGTGCCATCTAGTCATGTGCCAAGGCCCTTGCTTGCCTGAGAGTCCTCCTTGAGAATGTAGAGAAGTCCCGTTTTCTGGTTTTGACCAGGATGCTCCAGGTCACAATCCAGTGTCCACCCTCGGAATCTGACCAATCATGGAGGGAAAGTTGGCCTCAGGGCTAGTGGGTGTTGAGGGGGAGCTTGAGTGAGAAGAGTTTTCTCAAGATGGTTGGGGTAAATGTTCCTTGCAAGGCAGGAGGTCTGTGAAGGACAGAACCAGAGAGGAAGGGTCAGCAGATACAGGGCCTAGCAGATAAAGATGCTGGAGAGACAGAAGAGATTATTAAATGTTTTCAGTCCTTTTCTACTGTTCCACTGGAGAGTTTGTTATACTTGCAGCAATGTAGAATGTCCCCCACGGGCTCATGTATTTGAATACTTAGTCCCCTGCTGGTGACACTCTTTTGGGAGGTTCTAGAACCTTTCAGTTCAGGAAGCCTACCTGGCAGGTAGAGGGCTTCGAGGGCAGAGCTTACCTGGTCCCAGCTGGTTCGCTGATTCACTGAGATGTTACAATTTGAGTTACCCACTGCTCCGCCTTCCCGACCATGGTAGAATGTGTCCCTCAAGCCATGAGCCACAAGAAATCCCTGCTCTGCTGTTTCTGTCAGGTATTCCGTCACAGCAATGAGGAAAGAAACTAACGCAGTGTTGATTTCAAAACCCGGATGTAGGAAGTAGACAAATGGAGGCAGGCTCAACACATGTCAATCATAGTTATGATTCTAAGCACCAACATGGCACTTGAGACAGAGATCATGGAAGATATTCATTGGCATGAAAAGTGGCCATAAGCTCAATATACTCAAGGTGGATTTTCTTCTGTCCAGGCTAATTAAATAAGGTGTCAGTTTGGATGAGGGGAACACCAGGTCAGTGCTGGTATGAGCACTGGAGTGTCCTGTTTTGTAGAATCACCTGGAGGGCCAGGTTAGTTTTCAGATGGACATTCTGTCCATTTAATTCAAAACGTGTCTAGGAATGAAAAGCAACTGAACCATGGAGGAAAGAAATTGGCAAGTTAACTACAGAAGTACTTGAATTTTGGCCTCAAGGAAAGAACATTTCTCACCCTAGTAGCCCAGGTACAGTCTTCCTTGGTTAGCGCCCACCTACTGGCAGAAGACCAACTCTCATGATGAAATAAAACACACACATAAAAAAATGGTGTCTGGCTTTAAGACTTCAGCTCAGTGTAGAATCTATACTGATCAGTACTATAGATAAGGATGACCTTGGTAAGTCTCAGGGCAATTCAACAAAATCAACTGTCCTAGGGCGCATGGACCAGGGGATGAGGCAACAAATGGGTTCCTTTACAGGCCTGGGAGCTGAGGTTTGTCTTAGAAGAGATGGGCCACACATCAGAGAAAATGGCGGCAGTCGTGGGAGCGGAAAAGTCAGTCCTGCTGAGCACCCACAGTTTCTCAGGGTCTCCTCCATTGTCAGCTCTTCTGAGGAGCTAGAGCTGCAGAATTTGAGCGTCCACTTTTTCCTTAAGCTTCTTCTTGCCTCTCTCTAGTCCCACATATTGTCTAGTCTCTGTATCTGGGCCTTTCACAGGAGCTAACTAGGCTGTACTTTCACTTATTAGCACCGTCTGTAGGGAGACCTTCCCCCCTCCTTTTTAATAATGTGTAGCCCAGGCTGGCCTTGAATTTATAATCCTCCTTGCCTCAGCCCTCCAAGTGCTAGGATTATAGGTAAGCCACCACGCCTGGCTATAGATACCCATTGAGCAGCTAGGAGAACACCCTGCTTACCTCCTGCCATTATTCTGTCTTGGTGCCAGCACCTAGCCCTCACATCTTAGAGTTGTACTTCTCGCCCTTGCTGGCCCAGCTTCCAACATTTGTGGTACCCAAACCTCCCAGGCTCTGGACTTTGCCTTTTCTCTCTGCCTGTTTGCTGCTCCGGTGCTGAGACAGAGAATTGGGCTGCCCTCAACTCTGCCCCCTGAGTACCTGCTGCCCTTTCAGGTCCAGCATTAAATCAGGGTGAGTCATCTCAGCATCACCCTCTCTGTGAGTCTCCGGTGAGCCCCATCCCTTTCCTTCCCTCATCTCAACACTGAACTTACCGTTTTCTGTTCTTGACCTACCCCAAACCTCTATACCATTCCCAACTTGCAAACACTTGGTGACACACTGGGACTGCTGTGGACTTTGGGGGTGAAAGAAAAGGTGGCTGTGGACTCACCTGCCTGGAGGGTTTCTATCTGTAAACGTCCTTGGTATGGAAAGACGAGGCGCCGTTAATGTACTGTAGAAAATACCCCCAGAACACATTCATCTTTCCAAAATCCAAATAAGCTCATGCTTCTTCAGTGATGCTTCTGTCTTTGCATTAATTTAAGAAATCTAGATATTCAGAGCACATAGCACAGAGCCGTGGCTTCTTTCTGGAGTCAAGCCTGCAAGTTTCCCCTTGAAGTCCCTCTTCAGAGATGCTACATTTACGTCGACAGCTTGTGGATGACTTGGATCTTCTGTAGTTTTTCTGTCCCAACCAAATTGATGAGGTTCGGCCTGGGAAGGGAAACTAGGGAGTCTTATAGCATACAAAGTTGAAGTCAATAGGCTTCAAGTAAATGTGACCTGTGATGGTAAGGAAGCATTAGACATCACCTATACAGGCTGTAGTGCTGAGTCAGCATCCAAGACTGTCTGAGATGACATCCCGAGGTATGTCACTACAAGGGAGGTCATTAGTTCCATTTCCCCAATCGATCTACAGTGGCTTCCTGAGTACTGCACTAAAAGAAGTTGTAAGACCTATCCTTGGCTGTGTGAAAGCGAACACAGCGATTGATTAGTGCTGTCTGCCAAGGATAGGACACTCCAGTAGGCAAGAGCCTAGGTGCTTGATTAGTGCTGCCTGCCAAGGATAGGACACTCCAGTAGGCAAGAGCCTAGGTGCTACAGTCAGAGGGCTGGAAACTCTCTTTGTCACTTAGGAGCTCAGTGATATTGAGCAAGCCACCTAATCGCTTCCAGGCTTATTTCTCAGCATTAAACAGCAGGTGGATTATAACATTAGCTTCACAGAGTTGCTGCGAGGGTTGACTGAGGCGATTCATGCCCAGGGCTGAGTACAGTATCTGGCAGAATGCTCCCTGAACTTTAGCTGTTATTTTCATAATTAATAATACCTGGTTCAAGTGTGGATGGGGCAGCTTGCATTCAGCTCATCCAAGGATGGATGAGGTTATGAGTCCCTGTGGCTAATACAATTAAAGGCACTTGTGGAGGTGGTTGGAACTTCCTGGTTTCTAAGATATTAGCAAAAATTGATGCTTATTCTCTCTCTCTCTCTCTCTCTCTCTCTCTCTCTCTCTCTCTCTCACACACACACACACACACACACACACACACACACACACACACACGTATATAAAATGGATGAAAACCAGATGTCCTCATAGGTCAGTCCAGCAGCACAAACTCTCACTATAAGAAAACACTGGTCTTATCTGTCCTTGTAGATTAGGTCCTAATTATTTGTAAGACAGAAAGAATTCCTTGGCTTTCTCTCTTTCAGTTTTCAACTTCATCTTCTGACTTTATCCAACAAATTCCCCGATCCCAAATTCATTATTTTTGGGTCCCTGCACATGCTGTTCCTGCCGAGAATTCTTTCTCT